AACCAGCTAGAAGGACCAGGCCCAGTGCCATCTATCATGACACCTCTGATCACTGTGTCCCACCAGCCACATCCTACAAGCTCCTCTAGTAGTTTCTATTTCTATTTTAGCACTTATCAAATTGCTTTGAATTATTATCTCCTGAGTATTTGTCTGATCACTTACATGACTTCGATTACTTTCCTTGAGATTAAAAGCCATGTTCCGCCTGAATTATTGACAGCTCCCAGTATTGTGCTTACAATAAGTACTCAATAACTGATTATTCAACTTACTCTAGAGAGCACAATGCCTTCATTGAGAAGCTCCAGTAATAGTCACTATTGCCTGGGTGTCTGTTAGGAAGTCACTAACTGCTCCCTCCTTGTGTTAAGAAGTTTATTAACATTCTTCAGATTATGTTTTAATGAAGTTTCATAATGGAAAATACCAAGAATACTTTTGTGTATTAGTCTGCTCACACTAAGCTGATTTTATGAACACACAGGGATTAGAGAAAATTGACCTCATATATTGCAAAACCCAATGAGTTGTGGTGATCTCTTCTTCTATAAATGAAAAAGTATAAATGACATTCCAGGAGCAGTACTAGGCTTCATTTAATCTTCAGTAATAAAAGAAAGTGTGTGTGTGTGTGTGTGTGTGTGTGTGTGTGTGTGTGTGTGTGTTGTACGACTCTCAATTACTTTAGCAATTCTGGTTTCTCATTAAATTTTAAAGAAATGTGAGTAAATAGATTAAAGGTGCATTGAAAAGTAGAATAAAAATCATGAATGTGTACCAGATTTAAAGGTGGAAATATGAAGTATTTGGATTACATATTCAAAATGTTCATTCCACTTTTCTAGAAAGTCAAGTGCTGCTCCGTGCCACTGGCTTTGCCCTCAAATGACAGAAATGCTGACATTTACTGCAGTTGGTTTTCTCCTGGGCAATGCGCTACACAGTCTAACTTATTGCCCTTGGTTTTCAGTGGCCTAAACTCCAGGGTGACATACAAATCTACCGCAATAAAATTTGCAAAGATTCCTTTCTAAAAACCCAAAAGAGATTAGCCCCAGGCGTAGCATGTGCCCTCCTGGCTCAGGGGAGGGCAAGAAGGACCTTTTCAATGTGAAAGACAAGTGGTTTTCCAGCAGCAAAATTCTAGGATGCATAATGTGCCTTAGAAACGTCCATGTGACTGCTGGAGATGTCATTTTTGACAGCTAATTTCCAGTAAAGGTTTGCACAGTAAAAAAAAGGAGAGATTTTTATGAAAGAGATACAATCTGGAGGGAAGAAAAATGACCAAAAAAAGGAGCTGAGGAGGGCGGCAGGAAGGCCCACAGGACATGAGGAACGTGCATGAGACAAGCCCAGTGATCTCTTCCTCCTCCTCGGAAACCCAGCTCGATTTACAGCTAATGAAGTGAGCCTGCGTCTCTGCTAAAAGTTCAGGCCATCAGGACAAAAGCAGATTCATCATGATTGCCCTGACATTTCCTCTCATTACCAACTGACAGGCAAAATCGAGTTCACGATGCAGACGTGGGGCTTGAAGTTCAAACCATTCTGACCCTCAGCCACACCTGCTCCTGTGAATGACCTTTGCAGTCGGGGTCAAACAAAGCAAGCAGGATGGATAGGTCACTTAAGCGGCCACCGAGAACAATAAAAAGAATTATTTTTCTTGTGGATTTTTAAATTTCCAAAGGCTGTCCAATTACTGAAGTGTTTCCTAAAGGCTGAAGACACAGGAATGGGATGATCACCGTCAGCCACATTAGAAACATGTGTTAATTGGTTCGTGTGTCATTGTTTCTTCTTCCTGCCTGTCTAAGGTTCTAATATAAAAAAGAGTCTCAGGAAAAATATTATAAAACATAATTAGCATTTCTCAGTGCCTGTCTGCAGATGGCTGTCTAAGGAAGACATGGCACCATGCAATGGAATGTTACTCAATCACAAGGAAGGACAGCCAGTCATCTGGACAGCATGAGTGGGTCTTGCGGGCATATACTGAGCAAAATAAGTAAGACAGAGAAAGACTAGTAATACACAATCCAACTTACATGTGGAATCAGGAAAAATCTCAGAAAAAGAGGGTAGAATGACGCCAGCAGTGCCTAGCAATGGGGAGCGATGAGGAGACCAAAGGGTACAAACTTCCAGTTATAATATGAATATATTCTTCAAATAATCAAACTTAAACTAAAACAATAATTATTCATGACAAATTAGAGTAAAAGTAGCATGATTTTAAACAAAAATTGATATTTATCAATTATGCATACATTAAAGCTCCAATACATGAATCTGTGCACCTTGAAAGAAACTGTGGGCCATGAAGCTGCGGTGGGCACAGGGGCAGGTCTCAGCCTATCCTCTACATCCTCATCCAGTCCTTCCTCCAACAGCCCCCCCCATCCCTTCTCCGCCAGCAGCCCTGCTCCCTCCGCTCACACCCATGATGACATGGAGCGATTGGGACCTGTGCCAGGAGCAGGTGCAAGCAGCGGCTGCTGCCCCAAGCACCCCTCAGGAGCAGGGACAGATGGAGAAGCTCTAAGGGGTGATTGGGGCTGGCAGCCACCATTCGCACCCACTGTTGGCACCGAGTGATTGGGGCTAGTGTTGGGCACTGGCAGTGGGTACAGGCGATGGCTCCGGCACCAGCAGCAGGTGGGAGCAGAGCCAACGCAGGCAGCAGATGCAAGAGCCCAGTGGGACTGCGGCACACAGAAGCAAAGAATTTTCAACAATCAGCACCCTGCCTTGATCTGGCACCCCTGTTCACCTATTCCACCATCCTGCTGTGGCCGATGCCCACCTGCTGCCAATACCTGCCCTGTTCCAGGCATCCCCCTTATGATCAGCACATTTCTTAGCGACTGGTTGGTTGTTCAATTGTTCAGTTGTTCCGCCATTCAGTATATTTGCTTATTAGGGTTTTATATATATAGACTAGAAGCCCAATGCACAAAATTTGTGCAAGGGGTTTGGCCCTCACAGCCCTGGCTGCCTCGACTCATTGCAGCCCCTGCTGCCTCACGGCCCAGGCCCTATGGCCCCACCCACTGGTCATTCGGAAGATCATCTAGAAGGTTGTTGCACCATCCAGTCTAATTAGCATATTAGCTCTTTATTATATAGGATTTCTACACACTGTTATATTATCCTATCTAATAAAAGAGTAATATACAAATTGACTATCACTCCAACACACAAAATGGCCGTCCACAAAATGGTGGTCAAAGATGGCTGCCCTTAGGTGGACACAAGATGGCCACCATGAGATGGCCAGCAGGGGAGGGCAGTTGTGAGTGATCAGGCCAGCAGAGAAGGGCAGTTGGAGACAATCGGTCCAGCAGGAGAGCAGTTAGGCATCAATCAGGCTGGCAGGGGAATGATTAGGGAGTGATCAGGCTGGCAGGCAAAAGCGGTTTGGGGCCATCAGGCAGGCAGACAGGCAAGCAGTTGGGAGCCAGCAGTCCTGAATTGTGAGAGAGATGTCCCAGATTGGAGAAGGTGCAGGCTGGCCTGAGGGACACACCTCCATGTGCAAAAAATTCATGCACCAGGGCTCCAATTAAGTCATAAAAAGGAATGAAGTGAAATTCCATTATGTGCTACAACGTGAATAAACCTTGAAAACTGAAACAAGCCAGACAAAAAGGACAAATACAGTACAATTCCACTAATAGGACGAACCTAGACTGGGCCAATTCACAAAGAAAATAGAATGGAGGTGACTGGGCGGGGGTCAGAGGTCACGAATCAGGAAAAACTCTGGAAGTAGTGCTGATATTTGCACAACATTGTGAATGGTGCTGAAGTGCAAACTTAAAATGGGCTAAAATCATAAGCTTCCGGACAAAATAAATGAGTAAATGTTAAAAATTATCACTTCCTTGTAGAGCAGATGCTGTGTTGGTGTGAGAGTAAACTTCTCCCAGCTTGGGCAGCCACACAGCATCACCACAGCACTCCAGACCTGGATTCAGGAGGTTTTCCTCCAGTGTCGGCTCCGTCACTTTCTAGTGGTAAACATTTGAGCAATTGCTAGGGCAAGTAGCTCAGCTGGTTAGAGTATAGTCCTGGTACACAAGGTTGGGGACCCCTGGTCAGGGCACATACAAGAATCAACCAGTGATGCATAAATAATGGAACAACAGGGCCATGTTTCTCTCTCTCTCTCTCTCAAATCAATAACTAAAAAATAAATTCAATACTTTTTTTCTTTTTTGAGCAAGTCACAGAGGTCCTGTGTGCTTTAGTTTCTTCCAGTTGCAGTATCCAGACTGGGTTGTTTTGAGGACAATAAAAAGAAATAATGCACAGAAAGTGCTTTATCAACTCTACACTATAGTGCATGGGGACAAAGTGTGTGATTTATTCCTGTAAGGTGCTTATTCATAACAACCTTATACTGAAATGTACTCTTTAATTCCTTTTTGAATACCCTATAATATTGTTACAGTTGGTATAATTCAGCCAAAGTAGCTTTTTTAAAAAAATTTTCTGATGTAAAAGTATTAAATTATAGTGTTTAGAATTTTAAAAGCTGAATTTCTGAGGAAACCACATTCCTCCTTACTATTCTTAGAGAGAATGGGCCAATAAACCCTTTCATTTATGCTATTTTGATTCCTTTTGTTAATTGGTTAGCCTCATTGCGCAGACCTTAGGAAGAAGAGACAGCCATATTGTATTTTTTCTGGGGGAAAAATGGACTTCAGTCTTGTTTAATGACAAGTATTGAAATATTTTATTCTGCTTCCTGCTCTCATCTTCCATTCCAACCAGCATCAGTCTCTGCTCTGTCAGACATGTGGCAGTTCTCTTCCATGCTGTGATAGCAAGGAAACATCATCTTGCAAAACTCCTCAGACACATAATTACATTGAAAAATTAGTATTTATAAAGTGATCTACATTGCCTGCTAGAACATCATAAATTAGTACCCAAATCAATGTGCTTGAAACAAATGTCAACTAATCTTTTGTTTCTCCCCTTAGTGGTTACGTCTTCGACTATGACTACTACAGAGATGACTTCTACAATCGGTATGTGAACTTCTCATCTTGTTTCCCTTTGAATTAAATTACCTTTTATTATACATTTTATTCATGGTATTCTTGATTAATGTGTTTAAAATATTTTATAGTAAAAAGAAAAGAAAATATTAAGTCCCCCAAAATACAATTTAGACAGCTTTTCTCATTTTCATGATACTTACTGAACTACATAAAGTACAACTTGGACTTTTAGGTACTTAAGCCTAAAATTAGGTGTCTGATATTTGGATAATATTTTAGAGATTTAATCAACCAAAGCTATTTAATAGGTCTGTTGTTGACTTTGAATTTCTTAAGACAAGAGTTTTATAAACCCAGAAAATTGCTTCAACCTTAGACACCTGCTTTCATATGACAGTTGAGCAGCCAGATTGGTTTGATTCAGTGAGTACACCGCACACTCCCCGGCATAGGGTGGGAGCAGGAGAGGAGGCCGTGCAGTGATGCTAAGAATCAGCGGGAAACGGAACTTTCCGTGGTCTTTACAAATGTTTGTTAAAACATTAAAAACTATCTTATTCTAGGCTATACATGGACAGGGAAATACAGTAAAACTGATAGTTACGTGGTACACTGTTATTTAAAATGGTAAAAATATTGAGAGTTAATGTGTTTTATTTTTTTGGAAAAAAAAAAAAAAAAAAGACTTCTCCAAAATAGTGTGAGCAGTCAGTTCTCCTCCTAACTCAGGGCATGGAGCCTGCGAGGGGCCCTCCCAAGGGTGGATGGGCAGGGCGGCTGGGCCTGCAGATGATCGTGCCCCAGTGTCCTTCAGGGGGAGCTCTTTTCCCTCTGTCCCTCTCCTGGGACTCCCCACTTTCCTCATCCATGTCCACAGGTTTGTTTTTCCTGAATTCCTCTGGCTACACATCTGGAGTCAACTGGAAGCATCAGCCTTGATGCAAGGTTATGGTTAGGGTTAGGGTTAGGGTTAGGATTAGGGTTAGGGTTAGAGTTAGGCTGTGTGCCCTAAAATCCCAATGGCATTACATTTCCACTTAAATTATATTTACATTTCACTGTCCTGATATTTTATGATAATTCCATTACGTGATCTCTACATTCCACCACCCGTTACCCTCTCCAGTTCCTGCTGCTCTTTCCTCTTAGTGACCAAGTCCCTCTTGGGGTTATCCATTTGAGTGAAATGCCACATGGCTCATCATGAGGACACAGTGCCCCCACATCTGCTGTTTGTGTGACCCAAGTGTCAGGTGACCACAACCCCTCACTGATGGCCCTTGAATGAGGTGCTGGGCTGAGGGCCGGTCGTGGGGCGCCACAGTCTGTGGACTGAGAACCTGGCAGCTAAGCCAGGGCTTCCTGAACCTTTTCCCAGCCCATCCTCTAAAGACCCCAAAAGGCACCTGGTGCTGGTGGGGAACTGGTGTTATTTAATAGGAAGCTGGCTTGACCACACAGAGGAATGCTGTACAAAGCGAGGAGCTGCTGTACATAGACCACCGGACCAACCAAAATGATCTCTTAAGCCTTTAATTATAGGGTTTATTTCAAAAAAATTCCCAAGGTCTGGGAAAGCAAACTTGGAGAAGAGTTTGTGATGAACATTCACAGACTCTGAGGGCAGATGGTGTAGCCCTTGTTGGGTTCAGCCAGGTCACCCCCAGTTCCCCTGGGACCTTTCTGTGTAGCTCATTCTCTTCAGATCCATGGGGGCTCCTGACTTGACTTCCCTGCAGCCCTGAGAATACGCACCCTGACCAAGTCCCCTCTGGCCCCTCCAGTGCATGTGGGCTTCTGCTCTGTGTTCCTCTCTGGGTGCCAGGATTTACCTCTCACTTCCTCTCCTTCCCCCCAGCCTCCCAGGCAGGCAAGGGGCTCAGTTTGCTAGTTTTTGCCTCCAGATGCTTTCATATCTCCATCACAATGGAGCCCAGTATGTGTTGTTATTCCATCTCCTTGCATTTAGAGACTGGTTTTCCAGGTGCACAGTTAATTAACGGCAAGGCTACAAGCATGACCTGCAGCTTCAGTCAGGGACCTGCAGTGTGAGGATGAGAAGCTTCAGGGCGAAGAGCCAGGAGCAACCTTGCCCAAAGGATGCAGACCCACAGCTACACCTACCTGACCACTTCTGGCCACTGTGGAAAGCAGTTACTTCACTAGCTAGTTCTTCGTGGCCAAATATGAATTTTTAAGAATTATCTGATCAAGTAATTTCTATCCTTTCTACAAAATATACTATATTTTAAATATTAAATAGCTTCTAATAACTTGTCCTAGAAATGATATGAAGTTCTGACAGCATTGAAATAACCCACAGATATTAAGAAAATATAACATTTATTTTAATTTTTACTGAATTTATTGGGGTGACATTGGTTAATAAAAGTATACAGGCTTCAGGGGAACAATTCTGTACACATCATCTGCATACTGTATTGTGTGTTCACTACCCAAGTCAAGTCTCTTTCCATAACCATTTATCCCCCCTCTACCCTCTCTTATACCTCCCCATCCCCTGGCAAGCACCACGCTGTTTTTTAGGAAGAAAACATAACATTTTGATAGTCTTCAAACTCTTTGGAAATTTTCATGTTTGACAATCTTAAAGACATTTTATAATGCAGCTTTTTTTGAGTTGCATAGCATTATCCTAATTACTCTAAAGTTTTCAGTCAGTGTACATTGTCATTTAGTCTGTCAGTGTGAAATTGTTTGAGCATTATAACTGCTTGAGTATTTTCTAACAGGTGACTTCCTTCCGAATGGAAGGAATTTCAGAGTTTGGTGTAGATAACAAGAGACCCAAGTTCTGGGCAAGCGGCCAGGTCCAGTCCTCTCACCTTTACAAGGAAGCCAAGCCTGGCCGGCATGGCCCAGTGGTTGAGCATTGACCTATGAACCAGGAGGTCATGGTTTGATTCCCATCAGGGCACATGCCTGGTGCTGTAGGGGGACTTTTTCCAGGCTTGATCCCCAGTTGGGGGACATGCAAGAGGCAGCCGATCAATGATTGTCTCTCATCATTGATGTTTCTATCTTTCCCTCACCCTGTCTGAAATCAATAAAAATATTTTAAAATAAAGGAAGCCAAAATCAGCATTTTTATTTTGTATATATTATTGTTTAATGAAATCACTAATTAGATTAGATGTCATTAAATAGATAGGTAGGTAGATAGGTTGATAAATAGATGACAGAGAAATAGATAAGTAGATATAGATAGATAATAGGTAGGTAGATAATAGATAAATAGATCAAAAGATGATAGATGGATGATAGATAGACAGATAATAGTTAGGTATATAGGTGAATAGATGATAGATAAATAGATAGAAAGATGATAGATAGATGGATGATAAATGGATGATAGATAGATAGATAGATAGATAGATAGATAGATAGATAGATAGATAGATAGATCGATCTTGCCTGCCAAAGAACAAGAACCTTAATCAGCCAAATAATCACAGTCTGAAGCTCTTAGATGCCTCTTCTCTATATAACAAAGCTGACTTGGAACAATTTCCAAACAATCAGTGTGTTTTATATAAAACCTGTTTGGCATGTGAGTGTGCAGAAGAGTGCTGTACTTGTGCTGCTGACAGGCTGTGTGAGCAGTCTGTGCTCTCATCAGTGTATCTTCCATTTGTGCTCTTGGCTGACAAAGACATGAGCACCTGCCACAGAGGTCCAGCCAGGAGTCCCTGTGAACACAGATGCCCAAAATGGAGTGTCCAGACCAGGGAAATAGCTCCCAAGTCAGTGCAAACAGTTTTATCCACAGTGATTTTTCACGCATTGAATTCTGTTTGTATTTATGGTTCTTTTTTCTTTCTTTCTTTGCTGATGATGCAAACTTGGACACATTATTTAATACCACAAACCCTGTTGTCTCAACCATGAAGTGAGCATGCTACTAATTCCTGCCTCATGAGGCTGTGCTGAGGATTACATGAAAGAGGCATATGTGTAACAATCAGCATTATGCCTGATATTGTTTTTAGTGCTACATCAGTGTTGGTTAAGCACAGTAGCAGTAACCGTTAACAATGGATTTCTTATATCAATATTCTTGTAGCAAAGACCCAGGGACAAAGGAAGAAGTGGCTGGTCAGCGGTCCTTCCTCGCTGTCCAAAATCCCGCTCCGGTGTTCTGCTTGTAGATTTCCCCCTTACCCCCAGAGCCTCCCGTTCAACTGGCCACGCTGACCTGACAGAGACTCTTGGTCAGGAACACAGAAATCACATGGCTATCTCACAGGGATGTCTGCATGAACAAAGCAAAGAAGAAACTGATATCATGGAGTTTGAGATGGCATGAAGCAGAGGCGTCCTCCAGGGCTGGGGACCAGAGCAGAGCTTGGAACCATGGTGGGACTTTCCGCGCTGGCACCTGAGCGGGCTCTGCTTGGCTCCTGGATTGTGTCTGAGCCCAGAGGGATCCCTGACCACTTCCGGGGGCATGAGGGCACTGTTCTGCCAGCCAGGGTGCCAAAGCAACTCAGCCTGGGCCCACCCCTGCTGCAGGGATGGATGGCCATTGCTGGGGTGAGGACATGGGCGGAGGGATGGGGACAAGAACAGTATGCCAAAGCACACTCCCTGTCCAGTCTCACTGTGTCCCCTCCTGTCCCTTGTTGATGTGGTCTGAGAATCTCAACCCAGCTGTGGCTCAAGCCGTGGCTATAGCGGAGAGATGCTAGCCTGGGAGGACAGCATCGCATGGTACCATGTCCCTGTTTCTGCCCAGGGGAGTCTAACACATGTGAGAATTACCAATCCTTGAGGAGTTTTAAACACTTAGAAAACTTCTGTAACAAAAGTCCATCTTATCGTGGTGGTTCTGATACACTGGCCCAGCAGTAACTTTTCCTAAGGTAATCGAACGCCTATCCCTAATTTCAGGGGTGGGGACGAGTATCACCAAGTAGCACCTGAGTAGCTATTCCACACCACATCTCTTTATGCCACGCAGAGCATTGAGCTGCAATTGACACCACTCGCTGGCATTTTCTGCTAAA